ATGCATGCCAAGAGAAATTTTCAAGCTGGGATTAACATATGCTGTTGTTGTTTAGTCACTACATTGCGTCCAACTCTTTTGTGATGACCTCTCTCTTTTGTGACTGTAGCCCACCAATCTCCTCTGTCCATGTGATTTCCCAGGCAACTAGAGTGGGTTGCCATTTCCTCCTCTAGGGGATCTTCCTGACCCAGGGATTGAACCTGTGTCTCCTGCATTGGCAGGCAGATTCTTTACCAATGAACCACCAGAGATTGACATATACACATTGCTATATATAAAATAGATGGGCTTCCCTGGTGACTCAGAGGTTAAAGCTTCTGTCTCCAATGCGGGAGACCTGGGTTCGATCCCTGGGTTGGGAAGATCCCCTGGAGAAGGAAATGGCAACCTGCTCCAGTATTCTTGCCTGGAGAATCCCAAGGGTGGAGGAGCCCAATAGGCTACAATCCACGGGGTCACAAAGAGTCGGGCATGACTGAGCGACTTCACTCACTCACTCACTCACTCACTATATAGCACAGGGAGCTATACTTAATATTTTATAACAACCTATAAGGGGAAAATCTGAAAAAGATATATGTATGTATATGTATTCAGTTATACATACACATAAATGTATAACTGAATCACTGTGCCATATACCTGAAATTAACATGATATTGGAAATCAATTATACCTCAAATAAATAAATAAAAATGAAACAATAAAATAAACCCAACTGCAAAAAAAAAAAAAAGATGAGGGAAAAAGAAACCCACATTCACAGTAAAAAAAATACTGTGTATTTTTACACATTAAAAATACATTTAGAAGCCTAAATGGCACAGAAGAATAAGAGTTCCCATCTCATACCATTGATTGGATTTGGGTGTATTTATTCTATCATTGTTTTTATTCTATTTAAATAATCCCTCTGACATTGTTACTACCTACTGGAGATACAATTTTATGTTAAGCTTTAATTTTTTTTTTATTGGTGGAAAAATCTTTAAACTACCTAGACAAAATACACTGAAGCTAAAAGAAAAATGAGCCAAATGGTAAGAGAAAGTGTCATGGGCATCCCATTCTGGAGACAGCAAAATAAAGTGGAAATCCACCGGTTAAGCGAATTTAAATTCTTCACTCCTCTCCCTAGGTAACTATCTCAGACTTCAAACCACATCTCACCACCTGGCTAGGACCAGAAAACCCAAGTGGAAGTGCTGTTTCATGCAGTTAAGGGCCCCTCGGCAAATGGCTCTATGGGCTTCACTTTCTGTATATCTACATCAAAATATAAAAATAGATATTCTGCAAGGCAACTTTACAAGTGCAAATCCTATGCTTTGTATTTAGGGACTGGGAAAAGCCATGACCATTAAATAGGACTTGTAGTGAGGATGACTGTAAGTCAAGCATTAATGACTGACAAACATTAAGGTTAAATTTTGAGTCTTTAAGTTTGGAGACATGTTCTTTATTTAACCCAGTAGACAGGTTCCTCAAAGTGTTTGTTAGCACTGCTTGGAAATAAAATGATAGAGCCCAATTTTCTTTAATTTATTTTTATTTATTTATTTTTGGACACACCACAGGGCATGAGCGACTTTCCCTGACCGGGGACTGAGCCCACGGCCCCTGCACTGACAGTGTGGAGTCTTAACCAGCGCACTGCCAGGGAAGACCAATAGTGTCCAGTTTTCTTACTGTATTGTCCCAAAGCAACTTACTTTCATCCAGAAGAACTGGGTCCAGCAGTAGTTTTAGGTTTTCAGATTCCTAAGCTTTCCTGCCTGTAGTTAATGATTTAAAATCATTCAGTGCTTGAGGGAAAACACTATAGTTATACATTGTAATAACTATGTTATGGATAACTGAACAATTATCTAAGCTGAATAATTGCTTAATTTGAGATTTAGTTTTGGAGTAAATACTAAATAATATGGAATTTTTACTTTACTTTTTCAGTGTGAAACATTTAGATTTTTCTTTTTCTCAATAAAACATAAATATCCAAGGAAACAAACTAGGAAACTCCTTTCTGCCCGCCCTTCCTCTCCCCCGCTATTTATCCCTCCCTCCCCCTTATCCTTTTCTTCCTTCTCTATTTTAACAATTATTGGTGGTTCTTTCCATATGCCAACCAGACTCTATATGCTATGGATACTCAGGTGAAACTACATTATGTACATGGACCCCTGGTTCTTTGGAATTACTGGTGGAGTTGGGTTTTATAAAACAAATGAACACAATAACCAACCAACCAATCAAGTGAAGCAGAAAACAATATCTGAAAGTCAGGGTGTACTTATCATTTAAAAAGAATCTTTAAATATTACTCTCCATGGCATAAACCTTTGTTGTTGATTCATTAATGCATTGGTTTGGAGGGATGGTGGGACACAGAAATTGCAAGCTAAAGTGTTCGATGGTATGGTTTATTGGTAGATGTTTGGAGGGAACAAAGCAAGTTCTAGAGTGATGACACTGGTTATCTTGTTTAACTAAAATACAGATTACAATCAAAATTTTTTTGGAAAATGGCCTTTTTTCTAGCTTTTTTGAAATATAATTGACATACAGCATCATGTAAGTTTGGACTTACAACATGCTGATTTGATATGTGTGTATATTGTAAAATGATTGCCATATGTGATTACTATATATATTATAATGTTAGTTAACACCTCTATCTTCTCCCATAATTACCACTCTTTTCCTGTGGTGAAAACATTTAAGATCTACTCTCTTATCAACTTTCAAGTATAAAGAGTAGTATTTTAACTATAGTCATCATCCTGTATATTAGATCTCTAGAACTTGTTCATCTTGTAACTTTAAGTTTGACCCTTTAACTAATATCTCCCTGTTTCTCCCACTCTCCATTCTCTGGCAACCACCAGTCTGCTTTCTGCCTATGAATTTGGCCTTTTTAGATTCCACATATAAGTGATGTCATACAGTACTTGGTCTTTCTCTACCTTGTTTCACTTAGTAAAATGCTCTCAAGTTCCACCATGTTGTCAGAAGGTTTTTCCTTCTCTTTTATGGATGAACAATATCCCATTGTATATATGTACCACATTTTCTTTATCCATTTATCTGTCAGCAAACACTTATTTATTTCTGTATCTTGACTGTTTGAATGGGGATGCAGTGGTCATAGAGGTGCGGGTACCTCTCTAAGAGTGATTTTACTTCCTTTGGATATATACGTAAAAGTAGGATTGCTGGATCATATGGTAGTTCTATTTTTAATTTTTTGAGGAACCTCCATATTGTTTTCCAAAGTAGTTATACCAGTTTACATTCCCATCAATAGTACACAAAGGGTTCCCTTTCTCCACATTCTTGCCAACACTCCTCTTTTTGATAATAGCTATTCTAACAGATATGAAGTGATAGCTCATTGTGATTTTAGTTTCATCTTACTGATGATTAGTGATGTTGAGCATCTCTTCATGTACCTGTTGACCATTTGTATGTCTTCTTTGGAAAAATGGCTGTTCTGATCCTCTGCCTATTTTTAAATCAGACTATTTGATTTTTGTCTATTGAGTTGTTTGAGTTTCTTGTATATTTTGGATATTAATTCCTTAGCTGAAGAAGAGTTTGCAAATATTTTCTCCTGTTTTATTGATTGCCTTTTCATGTGGTTAATTGCTTCTTTTGCTGTGCAGAAGCTTTTCTGTTTGATGCAGTCCCACTTATTTACTTTTGCTTTTGTTGCTTGTGCTTTTGGTATCATATGAAAAAAATTCATTTTCTAGGCCAAGATCAAGGAGCAATTCTGAGAAAGAACAAAGCTAGAGGAATTACATGCCCTGATTTCAAGCTATATTACAAAGCTATAGCAATCAAGACATTTTAGTATGGGCATAAAAACAGACAGATGAACTAATGGAACAGATTAAGAGCCTGGAAATAGACTCATGCACATATAGTCAACTAGTATTTGATAAGGGAGTGAAGAATACTCAATGGGGAAAGGGTAGTCTCTTCTCTAGATGGTGTTGGGAAAACTGGATATTCATAGGCAAAAGAATGCAATTAGACCCCTGTCTTACACCACTCAAAAAATAAACTTGAACTGCATTAAATTAAGACCTGAAATGATGAAACTCCAAGAAGAAAACATAAAGAAAATGTCCTTTTAACCAATTGGGATCATCTCCAACTCTAGGATGTGACCTTCCCCAAACCCCAACACTGAAAGACACTCTTGGCCTCTTTTCACTCAGAAATGTTTACAAATAGTTGGAGAAAGGCTGCCTGCAAGTCAGCCTCAGAGGAGAAACTAGTATCATCCTTTTTATGCCCTGGGGCAGAATCTTAGTTAGTCAGGCCCCTGCCAAGTTGTAAAGGCTGACATTTCCTGAAGTGAAGGGAAGAGAGTGTGGAGCTGAGTGATTCAAGTCCTGATTTATCTTTACTGGATTGCTCTTCTCTGAACCACCGTTTATTCTGGAAAGAAAGGGATCATCACACTGGTTTACCTTACCTGTTTCTTGTGAGAGCTACAAGTTCCTAGCATGCACAGACTGACACATAATAGACACTGAATAAATGGTATTTTTAAAAATTGCAATACCAGTAAGCGTTTACCTATTAGTCTATTAAGAAGTTAGGAGGCAGTGCTGGACTCATGCCATTGGTCAGGAGTTGAGTGGCTATTGTATATCTTCTTCATAGATATTTATCCTAAGAACTCTGCCTAATTTAGCATATTTATAGGTTTGAAATGCTATAGATGAGATTTCTTTAAAACCCAGACACCATTTGCGCTTAGGAATCCCAAGGCAGAGCTCACATTGCATTGAAAGTGTGGCTAGTAATGTGTCACTCATGATATCTTGTGGGACAATTCATGCTCAGATTAACTGAGACTTTATTTTCAGAGTATAATCAGGGGAAGGCAAAATGAACTGTCAGTGGTCAAAGGCCCCCATTCAAAGCATGTGTAGATAGGCCAGGTTTCAAAGCCTGAAGAAATCAAGTGTCTCCTTTCTTCCTAGGGATTTAAAGATCCTGTATACCGAGCAAGACGGAAGCAATTCGCTGACATTGCCTACAACTATAGACAGTAAGTCTGCTTTGCCCAAAGTTGGAAAATACCAGCTTGGAGAATCCTTCCCTCTGTGCATGTTTGTGTATGTTTAAACCCTCCCTTTAGTAACACACATTAAAAAAATCACCAATAAAACAATATTACCCCCTGCACCAGGGCCCAGCTCTCTCCCAAACTTTGTTGTGTAATTACGCAGTGACGTTTGACATTAATTATGACATGCCTCAGTCCTGAATAGAAGAGCCTCTGGTGTTTCTGCATTAAACCCAGAAGAAGGAGAAAGAAGTATTTACATTCAAGGAGTTGGCTGCTTTACTGAATTAGTGAATCATTGGAGGTTTCAGGAGAGCCAAGCCTCAGGGTTCTACTTTTATCTGATCTGACCCAGATGCGAAGACCAATTTTAGAATGAGTTTATTTTTTTCTCTCTGGGATTCCACCAGATTTTAGCCAGAGGAAAATGCAAATATCAAATGTTACTTGGGAAGAGAATTGTTTTGCTATTTTGAGTTCTTGGGAACTACAGAAATGCTCCCATGAGAAACTTAGAGTTTGGAGACCTGAGCTCCATTCCTGAGTTAAGGGTGTGAGAAAAGGCGTGCTCAAGAAGAAACATACAGGGTTTAGAACACTGAGGTGATGGGACTTTAACAGCTTTGCTAGACTATGGGGGAGATAAAGGAGATGCTCACATTCTATACATGGAATAAAAATGACCTTCACAAGGGAAAGGCTTCCAGAGAAAATGAGAAAATTCCTTTATCTGAATGAGTCCTGGTAGTAGAAGGATCCAGAACAGTGCTGACCTTAGTCATGTCTAGACCCAGCTGGACTTTGGCTTGTGGCAAGCAGGAATCACAGAATGTGGTGACCTCTCTCCCCTGTCCCATCATGGTCAGGTGGGCACATCAGGTACAGACAAGAGCCCTTCTTCAGATAGTCAATAATAACAGGTCATGTTTAATCTCTTTGCTATGTCCAAGGCTTTGTTAAATGCTTAATGTACATAATTCCATTTAGTCTTAATATAACTCCCCATTTTTCAGATGGAAAAACTAAAGCTTTCGAACATCCTAGTAAATAACTTGCCAAAGTCATAGAACTGAAAGGTGGCAGAGTCCGGTTTTGAACCCAGGCTTTTTTTTTTTTTTTCATTTATTTTTACCAGCTGGAGGCCAACCACTCCACAATATTGTAGTGGGTTTTGTCATACATTGACATGAATTAGCCATGGATTTACATGTATTCCCCATCCCAATCCTCCCTCCCACCTCCCTCTCTACCTGATCCCTCTGGGTCTTCCCAGTGCACCAGGCCCGAGCACTTGTCTCATGCATCCAACCTGGGCTGGTGATCTGTTTCACCCTAGATAATATACATGTTTCAATGCTGTTCTCTCGAAACATCCCACCCTCGCCTTCTCCTACAGAGTCCAAAAGTCTGTTCTGTACATCTGTGTCTCTTTTTCTGTTTTGCATATATGGTTATCATTACCATCTTTCCATATATATGTGTTAGTATGCTGTAATGTTCTTTATCTTTCTGGCTTACTTCACTCTGTATAATGGGCTCCAGTTTTATCCATCTCATTAGAACTGATTCAAATGAATTCTTTTTAATGGCTGAGTAATATTCCATGGTGTATATGTACCACAGCTTCCTTATCCATTCGTCTGCTGATGGGCATCTACGTTGCTTCCATGTCCTGGCTATTATAAACAGTGCTGCGATGAACATTGGGGTGCAAGTGTCTCTTTCAGATCTGGTTTCCTTGGTGTGTATGCCCAGAAGTGGGATTGCTGGGTCATATGGCAGTTCTATTTCCAGTTTTTTAAGAAATCTCCACACTGTTTTCCATAGTGGCTGTACTAGTTTGCGTTCCCACCAACAGTGTAAGAGGGTTCCCTTTTCTCCACACCCTCTCCAGCATTTGTTGCTTGTAGACTTTTGGATAGCAGCCATCCTGACTGGCGTGTAATGGTACCTCACCATGGTTTTGATTTGCATTTCTCTGATAATGAATGATGTTGAGCATCTTTTCGTATGTTTGTCAGCCATCTGTATGTCTTCTTTGGAGAAATGTCTGTTTAGTTCTTTGGCCCATTTTTTGGTTGGGTCATTTATTTTTCTGGAATTGAGCTGCAGGAGTTGCTTGCTTATATATTTTTGAGATTAATCCTTTGTCTGTTGCTTCATTTGCTATTATTTTCTCCCAATCTGAGGGCTGTCTTTTCACCTTGCTTATAATTTCCTTTGTTGTGCAAAAGCTTTTAAGTTTCATTAAGTCCCATTTGTTTATTTTTGCTTTTATTTCCAATATTCTGGGAGGTGGGTCATAGAGGATCCTGCTGTGATTTATGTCAGAGAGTGTTTTGCCTATGTTCTCCTCTAGGAGTTTTATAGTTTCTGTTCTTACATTTAGATCTTTAATCCATTTTGAGTTTATTTTTGTGTATGGTGTTAGAAAGTGTTCTAGTTTCATTCTTTTCCAAGTGGTTGACCAGTTTTCCCAGCACCACTTGTTAAAGAGGTTGTCTTTTTTCCATTGTATATCCTTGCCTCCTTTGTTGAAGATAAAGTGTCCATAGGTTCATGGATTTATCTCTGGGCTTTCAATTCTGTTCCATTGATCTATATTTCTGTCTTTGTGCCAGTACCATACTGTCTTGATGACTATTCGAGGTTTTTTGTATTCCCATACAAATTGTGAAATTATTTGTTCTAGTTCTGTGAAAAATACCGTTGGTAGCTTAATAGGGATTGCATTGAATCTATAGATTGCTTTGGGTAGCATTGCCATTTTGACAATATTGATTCTTCCAATCCATGAACACGGTATGTTTCTCCATCTGTTTGTGTCCTCTTTGATTTCTTTCATCAGTGTTTTATAGTTTTCTATGTATAGGTCTTTTGTTTCTTTAAGTAGATATACTCCTAAGTATTTTATTCTTTTTGTTGCAATGGTGATGGTATTGTTTCCTTAATTTCTCTTTCTGTTTTCTCATTGTTAGTGTATACGAATGCAAGGGATTTCTGTGTGTTAATTTTATATCCTGCAACTTCACTATATTCATTGATTAGCTCTAGTAATTTTCTGGTAGAGTCTTTAGGGTTTTCTATGTAGAGGATCATGTCATCTGCAAACACCAAGAGTTTCACTTCTTCTTTTCCTATCTGGATTCCTTTTACTTCTTTTTCTGCTCTGATTGCTGTGGCCAAAACTTCCAAAACTATGTTGAATAGTAGTGGTGAGAGTGGGCACCCTTGTCTTGTTCCTGATTTTAGGGGAAATGCTTTCAATTTTTCACCATTGATGGTAATGCTTGCTCTGGGTTTGTCATATATAGCTTTTATTATGTTGAGGTATGTTCCTTCTATTCCTGCTTTCTGGAGAGTTTTAATCATAAATGGGTGTTGAATTTTGTCAAAGGCTTTTTCTGCGTCTATTGAGATAATCATATGGTTTTTATCTTTCAATTTGTTAATGTGGTGTATTACATTGATTGATTTGCGGATATTAAAGGATCCTTGCATTCCTGGGTAAGGCAAATGCTAATGAGTATGAAAGAGGAAATTAATAGTAACACAATAATAGTGGGAGACTTTAATGCCCCACTCACAACTATGGATAGATCAACTAAACAGAAAACTAACAAGGAAACACAAACTTTAAATGACACAATGGACCAGCTAGACCTAATTGATATCTATAGGACATTTCACCCCAAAACAATCAACTTCACCTTTTTCTCAAGTGCACACGGAACCTTCTCCAGAATAGATCAGATCCTGGGCCATAAATCTAGCCTTGGTAAATTCAAAAAAATTGAAATCATTCCAGTCATCTTTTCTGACCACAGTGCAGTAAGATTAGATCTCAATTACAGGAAAAAAATTGTTAAAAATTGAAACATATGGAGGCTAAATAACACACTTCTGAATAACCAACAAATCATAGAAGAAATAAAAAAAAGAAATAAAAATATGCATAGAAATGAATGAAAATGAAAACACAACAACCCAAAACCTATGGGACACTGTAAAAGCAGTGCTAAGGGGAAGGTTCATAGCATTACAGGCTTACCTCAAGAAACAAGAAAAAAGTCAAATAAATAACCTAACTCTAAACCTAAAGCAACTAGAGAAGGAAGAAATGAAGAACCCCAGGGTTAGTAGAAGGAAAGAAATCTTAAAAATTAGGGCAGAAATAAATGCAAAAGAAACTAAAGAGACCATAGCAAAAATGAACAAAGCTAAAAGTTGGTTTTTTGAAAAAATAAACAAAATTGACAAACCATTAGCAAGACTCATTAAGAAACAAAGGGAGAAGAACCAAATTAACAAAATTAGAAGTGAAAATGGAGAGATCACAACAGACAACACTGAAATACAAAGGATCATAAGAGACTACTACCAGCAGCTCTATGCCAATAAAATGGACAACTTGGAAGAAATGGACAAATTCTTAGAAAAGTATAACTTTCCAAAACTGAACCAGGAAGATATAGAAGATCTTAACAGACCCATCACAAGCAAGGAAATCAAAACTGTAATCAGAAATCTTCCAGCAAACAAAAGCCCAGGACCAGATGGCTTCACAGCTGAATTCTACCAAAAATTTAGAGAAGAGCTAACACCTATCTTACTCAAACTCTTCCAGAAAATTGCAGAAGAAGGTAAACTTCCAAACTCATTCTATGAGGCCACCATCACCCTAATGCCAAAACCAGACAAAGATGCCACAAAAAAAGAAAACTACAGGCCAATATCACTGATGAACATAGATGCAAAAATCCTTAACAAAATTCTAGCAAACAGAACACAACAACATATTTAAAAAATCATACTACATGAACTCAGGCTTTTTTAACCACAAAGTCGTTCTCAACCACTTCCTTGAGTGTCTGGGGACTCTCCAAGTCAGGAGACCATGCTTCTCCAGATGTCCCAGGAGCTGCTTATGGGGTGCATTCACTCCTTCTTGGCTGTTGGGACTTGAGGGGGAGAAACTCAAA